GTCGTGGGTGAAGACGGAGTCGTCCGAGGAGCACGTGCTCGTGGTGTCCTCGCAGGAGGGCGAGTACTGCTCGAAGGGCATGGAGAGGTCCAGGTACTGCAGGGGAGAGCCGGGGCCGTGAGCGCCCGCCGCGCTGCCACCCGTGGGCACCGCGCGGGGCAGGAGCCAGCACCACTCACCTCCTCGGAGACGGCGGCCAGGACCTTGTCCAGCCCCTCCACCAGCTGCTTGAAGGTGGGGCGCTGTGAGGGCACGGCGTGCCAGCACTCCCGCATCAGCATGTACCTGGCGAGGAGGGCACGTCAGCAGGGCCGCGCCGCGGGCCGGGAGCCCCACGCCCCCGCCGCTACTCACAGCTCGTGGGTGCAGTTGGAGGGCCGGTCCATGCGGTGCCCCTCCTTCAGCAGCTTGAAGAGCTCCTCCACGGGGATGCCAGGGTAGGGCGAGCCCCCCAGCGTGAAGATCTCCCACATGAGGATCCCAAAGGACCACCTGGGATCACAGGCAGCAAAGAGTGGGGGGCAGGTGAGCCTCATACCCAAGCCCTTCCTGCACAGGCAGCGCCCTCGCTGCCCCCACAGCACCCGATGTGCCATGGGAGGGAGGGACAAGACACCCAGACACCCGCAGAGCCCGGCATCACCCCTGGGAGAGACGGTGCCCTGCGGGGTGCCTGCCTAGTTATGGGAGTTCCCCAGGGTGGGCATCGCCCCACGGAGCCGCCTCGGCCCACCCCATAACTCCCCGCTCCCTGGGACTCACACGTCGCTCTGGTGCGTGTAGACACGGTCGAACAGGGCCTCTGGTGCCATCCACTTCACAGGCAGGCGGCCCTGCAAGAACAAGCCCTCTGCTTAGCCATGGCTAGGGGCCCCCGTCCCCGTCCCCTCCTCTCCCAGTCCCCACCACACTCACATTGCTGGTTTTCTTGTAGTAGTCGATGTCGTGGACATCTCTGGCCAAGCCGAAGTCAGCGATTTTCATCACGCTCTCTGCCGTGACGAGCACGTTGCGGGCAGCCAAGTCACGGTGAATGCACTGCCAGGAAGGAGCCATCACCCAGAGGTGTGAGACAGTGGCTCTGGTTCTGCGTGTCCCCTCTGCACACCTGACTGCCACACACCTCCCGTGCGCCCCATGGCCCCCAGGCCCCTTCACTCCCATGGGGCTGGCTGCAGTGACAGTAGCATCTGGGGAAGAAAATCAGGAGGCAGGACAGGTCTGTCCTGCACAGATGTTTCTGGGGAGATCTTGGAGATGCTGCCCTGAGCTTTGCTGGATACGGCCGTGAGCTCTGCACAGCCTGGAGGAGGTGGCTGAGCCTCCTGTCTCCATTCAGAGAGAGGACAGTGGCATCAGCAGGGACATGAAACACACAGGGCCTCCACCAGCACCGCACCCGCCCCAAGGTTTTCGCAGGCACAGGCATCCCAATGGGCTGTGCCAGCCGTACCCGTTTGGACTCCAGGTACTCCATGCCACGGGCCACCTGGTAGACACAGGAGACCAGGTCCTTGAAGGAGAGCTGCTCCTCAGGCATCGCAGTGATGTCGAAAGTATAGTCAGGCGTCGGGGGCCGCCGGGCCCGGAGGTACTCGCGCAGGTTGCCCTTTGCAGCGAACTCCACGATCACGTAGAGCGGCCCTGGAAAGGGTGTCCATGCTGCTCAGCCCCAGCGCCCCTCCGGGTGCCCTCCAGCTCTTTCCTGCCCACTCAGCAGCCCACCAAGAAGTGCCCCCTCCTCTGCCCTTTCAGCCTGCCCTCCACACTCCCCTGAGCCCCCCTCACCATCCTGCGTGCAGACTCCCAGGAGGTTGATGATGTTCTTGTGCTTGTCCATGAGTTTCATCATCTCCATCTCGGAGATGAGGTCAGCCAGGTCCTTGTCGGTGGCATTGTCTGGGGGAGGAGGGTCGTGTCATTGTGCCAGCTGGGGTGACACCACAGTCAGTCCCCCTCACTGCCTGGCACCACCTCAGACTGTGTGCAAGGGACACCGCGCGGAACCGGTTACCTTTGAGCATCTTGACAGCCACTGTGACGGCTCGGTCCGGCCGGTCCCTGTCGATGCCGTAGGCCTCTGCCCGCACCACCTGGCCAAAGCAGCCTTCTCCCAAGGGCTTGCCCAGCACCAGCCTGGTAGAGCGAGATGGACCCGTGAGCGCCCCGCAGGAGCGCCCTGCTGCCCGCCCCGGGCACAGAGCCCCTCTCCCCCATGCTGCGGCACCGTACTTGTCCCGGGGGAATTCCCACTTGGAGTCAAGGGGCAGGTCGAGCTCCATGACCCCAGCCAGCATCGGGGCACAGCTGGAGGAGAGACGAGTGACGCGCATCAGGGATGTGCTGGACTTCCCGGATGAGCTGGAGTCCAGGGAGAACTGCGGAGAGAAGGTAGGAGACCTCAGCCCTCCAGCCCTGTGCTCTGGGGCCGGACAGGGCTCCCAGCCCAAGGACAGCAGGCACATGCAGGGATCCAGCGGTGCCACAGCTGCACGTGGCACTAGTAGAAGCTGCCCCTCCATGTTCCCAGGGCTCCTGCTTGGCGTGTACCTGTCGGATGAGTGGGAATTTGGAGAGCTTGTGGACAGCCATGGGCTCCAGAGGCTGCTTGCTCGACTGGGTCTGCATCCGGCACAGCACCACGATGATGACGGCCATGGCCACGGCCAGCGAGCCCGACGTGTAGATGATGATGTCTGTGTACTTGGTCTCAGGGGCCTCAGCTTCCCGCTCCAGGTCCTCTTCTGGAGGGAGCAAACGAGTTGGCCAGGGCCACAGTCCCCGCACGCCCAGGCCTGTCTCCTGCATGGCCCCGGCTCCCGCAGCAGCCTCGCGCCGCTGCCCCAGAGCCCCAGCGCTCACCTGGGAGCACGGTGAGCCAGGCGGACTGGTAGGAGAGGCCGATGGAGTTCCCCGCCAGGCAGGTGTACTCGCCCGCGTCCTCCATGGAGACGTTGCGCAGGTACAACACCTCCACCTCCGAGCTGTTGATGTCTGCGGTCTGCAAGGGAAGGGGCAGAGCATGAGCACCCCCCTTAACGGCAGGCTGTGTGCAGACCTCTCGTCTCCGCTTCGAGGTGGCCATCCCCATCACAGTCCCTGCCTCTCCAGGGCTGTGTGTTACCTTGAGCACTTGCACGTAGGGGACGCCATCAGGACCGTAGCTGCTGCCGTTCACCTCGATGTGCTTCAGCCACTGGATGTGAGGCTGGGCATCGCTGTAGACCTTGCAGAAGAACTCCACGTCGCTGCCCACCAGGGCTGTGGTGTTGGCGGGCAGCCCGGCCTGCAGGATGGGCCTGTGCGGTGACCTCTCTGCACAGAGGAAAGCAGGGCAGTGTCACCAACACAGCACGTGGCGCTTGGGGCAGGGCCTCTGCCTCCCTCCCTGCCCTCTGGGAGCCCCAGCAGCTGTAGCAAGTCCCTCCCTAGACTGTCCCAGCCCAGCTCCAAGCCTGCTCTCGCATCCCCATGTCCCTTGGGTGCTCGGGACTCTGCAGGGATGTGTGGGCTGCTCGAGCAGTGAGGACCTGAGCAGGGTCCACTGCCTCCTTCCCCATGGGCCTGTGCCCCTCTCTCACGAGCAGAGCCCAGGGACCGCTCACCCAGTACATCCAGGAGGTAGCTGTAGCGGATGCTGCCGAACCTGTTCTCCACCAGGCAGGTGTAGTTGCCGCGGTCGGAGGGCACCACGCTCTCCATGACCAGGCTCCAGTGCTGGTGCCGAAGCTGCAGAGAGGGCAGCGATGTGGTGAAGGGCAGCGCCGCTGAGCTGGACCCCGTGCTGGGCAGACCCCGCGCAGGGGAACCCCGTGTTCTTACCCGGATGCCTCCGATGCGGTGCTCCCCCCGAAACTCGCGCCCGTTCTTGAACCAGCGGATGCTGGGGCTGGGGCTGCCCGAGGCCGGGCAGCGAAACTTGACCGTGTTCCCCGCGGGCACCGCATACAGCTTCTTGTCCATCCGGTGCGGATGTGTCCAGTAGGGCGCTGGGGAGACACGTGGTTAATGCCCAGCGGGATGCGCTGCGTGTCCCAGCTGCAGGGCCGGGAGCAGCCCCGGGCTTGGCCGAGCTGCTCTTGGCACGGGGACAAGCCGGAGCCTGGATGTGGCTCGAGCAGCACTGACCTCTGTGCAAGTAGACGGGCTCGTCATTCCGGTCTCCATGAGGACTGTCCCCATCACTGTCTTCATCGTCATCACCCGATGCCAGCGAGTCTGCAAGGGAAGATAGGTTGAGAGGGACACGTCTATCCGCAGCACGGCAGGGGACATGGGGTACCCTCCTCCCCACAGTGCGCCACGCGCTGCCTGGGTTCTTACCCACGACGGAGAGGGTGAAGTTGCGCAGGATCTTCCCGGTCGCCCGTGCCCGGCAAACGTAGAGCCCTGAGTCCTCGTAGGCGACCTCTGAGATCTCCAACAGGCTCTTCTGGAGACGGATGCGACCCCCTGGGACAAGAGGCCTGGACTCCTTGTACCAGACCACACTGGCACTGCTCTGGTTGGCATCGCAGTACAGCTTCAACACATTGCCTGGGTCCAGCAGGAGATGTTCCTCTTCTGACTCCAGCAAAGGGCTCTCGAACATCCCTGCCAGCCCGGGAGAAACACGCTGAGCACCAGCCCCAGAGCTCAGCCCCGCTCACACTCCCCGCCAGCAGGACCCCCGGCACCCCCCGGCGCGCAGAGCCCGGCGCCCGGCTCCTGCCCCCTCCCCAGCCTGTGGCCATGGGCGAGGGCTGGACTCTGTCCTCGGGCGTGGGATGAGGCTTCCCCGGCCGTTTGCCTGGCACTGCCATGTCCCCGTCCAAGGCCACATCCCTGTGGAGCAGCCGCTCCCTGTGCCGCAGGCTGCCTGAGCCCCTTCTGCCCCATGGAGGACGGACACCCCCTCTGCACTGACTGGGGTAGGGGCTCCCCAGCTCCTCCACACGCCAGACTTGTCCCAGGCAGCGGCATCTCCCATCACGCTGCCCCACATCCCTTTCCAGGGCCAGGCTCTCCATGCCCTGCTCTCTCCTCGCAGTGGGCCTGCTGCTCCCCATGGCTGGCGCCTGTCCCGCAGCCAATGTGGTCTGCACTCGTGGCCTGGACCTGGGCCACATCAGGGGCCACCACGGCCCTGCTTAGGGGAGATGTTAGGAGCCAAGCACCTCCGAAGCCAGAGCCAGGGCCTCCCGGCACCGCGTGCAGAAGCCGGGTCCGCAGATCGCCCTCCGCACAACCGCGTGTCCCACGCAACACGTGCGCATGCCCCGGGCGCAGCCGGGAACACAGCCCCAGCTCTGCCCACCTCATGGCCATCTCGCACAGAAATAACCCAAGCACCAGCTCAGCAAACACCAGCTGCAACTCCCACCCCTGCAGAGACTGGGCCCCACGTGCTGGGAGCCCTGCTCGTGCACTGCCCCCTGCCCCCGCGCCCATGTGCTCCCCGGCCCCTGCTCTGCCACCAGACAAGCCGAGGGGCCGCCGGGCACACGGGTTATTCCCTGGTCCACACTGGAGCCCCCACAAGAGGCTTGGCCGGCCAGCACCTCCGGGGCATTCCCAGGTGCTAATGGATAACACACAACTGCCGCAGCGCGGGCTTTCACACCACCCCGCGCCTCCACGCTCGTCCGTGAGCAAATCCAAACCCCAGTAACGCAGGGACGGCCACCTCAAGCAAAGAGGCTGCCTCAAGCAGGTCCTGTTCCTCTCAGACAGTCCCCATCTCTGGGCCATGCATCCAGCCATGCAGGTGCCCCCGCTCGCCCCAACACCCTGCTGCCCACCTGGCAGGTCTGGGGATGCATTGGGAGCTGCAGTCCCTCCGTGCCACCGTCCCCTGTCCCCAAGCCCCGTGTGTGTCCCCAGCAGTAGTACCTGGCTCCAGCGTCCTGCCCTGGGGAGCAGCCCGCAGAGCCCCCGTGGCCACCAGCAGGAGCCCGGGCAGGATGTGCAGGGGGAGCCACATCTTGCAGGCCCGGTCAGCGCGTGGCTCCGCACCCTGCAACACAGGCGGGAGCGCCGTGAGCGGAGCCACTGCGGGAGCCACCACCGTGTCCCTGAGCGGGCAGCTGGCTCCTGCCCCGCGCAGCTCCGGCCAGCTGGGGCGAGTGGGGAGGGATGGGGGTGTCACCTCTGCGTCCTAGCCCGCCCGAGGTGCCACACGGGACATTCTGAAGGGCATGTGGATGGCAAAAGTCCCCACAGCATGTCATCGTGGCAGTGAGGGGAGCCCCGGGTGAGACAAAGTCCCCTCAAGCCCTGATGGCTGCATGGGCAGACATGAGTGGGGGGTCCCTGCTGGGGCTCAGGGACCTGACTGCAAGGCAGGAGCAGGAAACAAGACTCTGAGCCCCGTCTGGCCACTGTGCTGGGCACAGGTCCGCTCAGACAAGGGTGACCTGCAGCTGCACAGTCAGGGTGCCCCGAGGTGAGGGGGGTCCCAGGGGCAGCCCCAAGGGTGGAGGGTCCCAAGACGAGGGTCATGCGGGGGAGAGGGTGCTGGGGCCCCACCGAGGTGGAGGGATTACAAGTTCCAGGTTGGGGACAGCCCTGAGGGTAGAGGGGACAGGGCTGGCGGCGGGGAGAGTCCCGAGGGGAGAGGGGCCGGGGATCCCGAGCGCGGCGGGGGTCGCGGGTCGTTACCGGCGCTGAGGGGCTCCCTCGGCGGGGCCGCCC